TTTAACCTAATTAAGATCCCCATGCTTAATAAAGATCTACCTTAAACCTTAATTAAATCTTAATTGTCTCCCCTTCTTGATTTGTGACTTGTGACTGAGCTGGCTCCTGTCTGCCCTTGATTTAATGCTACTTCCTTGTCTGGGCTCCCATAGACCAAAGGGCAGTTGCCATTATGCATCTGTATGTATTATACCTAAGACTACACATATATATACATACATACACTCCTATCCTCTCTTTCATTTTCTTCAATTCATGCCCTTATTATCTATCACTTCATTATTTATATTTATATATATATTCCCATATCTCACTGTTCATACTTGGATGATCTTTCTGTATCTTACCTGCCCATTTACCAATTTCTTAATCATTAATAGGATCAGCATCAATAATTTGTTTGTCTTCAATCTTCATTTCTTGCCAGATGGGAAACTAATAATTATTCATTTCTTTTCTCACATACTTTTTGCCTATGCCTTTTTAAGAGATTGATGGTAGTAGAAGAGAAATTGCATATTTCTATGTACATCACTAGGTTGGAATTATACTCAAAATCTGTCAAATAAATTTTGGAACATCATATCGGAACGTCAGTCTCATATAAATATAAGCGCCTACTATTTAAACTTTATACAATAATAATTGAAGGGTTGGGTTTTTTGTTTGACTACAAGTTTTCTCGACTAGTCAACTAGAACCACACACTGAAACTGATCATGTAGATTTAAGGTAATTGCATTACTCTGACTCAAATCATGAGTTTGAGCCCTCTTGTTAAGCTGGGAGAGACTCTCCCATCATCTCATTTATACACTCGTATGAGTACTGAAGGACTGAATTTAATTATAGGGTGTAACTGAAAATTCAAAATGACATTTTTTTTTCTCATATAATTATGATCATGAAACTATGATTTCTTGTAATAAAATGAAGTGGGTGGGGAGGGTAAGGGTTGATGAGACCTCAACATCCCAAGAATGTTGACAACTTCTCATGCTTCCATGATGGGTGTATTATTTGTGTTCCAATGATGGCAAAAGTAATTTGACTCTTTTTGTGTTCAAAACAAAATTACAATTTGGTAGAGTATACCTTGGATTTTTATCATGTGACAATGCTAGCTAGGTTCTTGCTAACTATCAACAGCTAGCAAGAGAGGGCTGAAAAAAATGCAATGTACCAAGAAGGGGGTGGGATAGGGGGGGGGGGGAGAGAGAGCCACAATGGCATTGCAATTCCATCACCCATAACCAATGAGGGGAAAATGATGTGCCAAATTCTAGTTGGTTTTTATTGCTAAGATTGGAAAAAAGATGGGCTTATGGCATTCCTACAAGGCAAGCAAGTCACATGCCAAGGTGTGGGTGGGTGTGTGTGGGATTGGGGACCAAAATGTGCAAATTTAATGCTAAATCAATACCTTACTTGAGAATGGACAGTCCCAGTTTCATTCCTTTTCAATTGATATTATGTCTACCAACCAATGTTTAAGTGGACTGATAAGAATTAAATGTCAGATTAAGCGCTTATCACTCCACTAAAAAATACAGCTAGTAGTAAAATGTGTAACTTTATTTTCTTTTATTTGCTAACAATCAGTCACATGTTCTCGATGACATAATGCTGAATTTGGTTTCTCAGTGAAAATGTTTAACGATACAAATTCGATCTCTCTAATGATTTCTTTGAATAGCAGTATAGCACAAACCAAATTCATATTACTATGTCATCTTCAAAGCTAATAGTATATATGTCCTAAACATATATTCTCCTTGATAGAATTTAGAAGAGTGAAAAGGGGATAGCTTGGCTTATGTGTCCTCAATTCTGATGAAATGCAATCATTTTAATAAGCCAAGATTATAATTAACCTACATAAATCATTGGCTGGCCTTCCCACCAGACCACCAGAAAACAAAACACAATTTGAAAAATGAAAAAGTTATTGCATAGTAACTTATAAAAATTATAACCACTCTTACAAAAATAAATTTTATGAACTGTCCTGAGCAGGCTCTAACTGTAGAAGGCACCTTTAAGCTCGAATCATATCCAAACTAATCCCCGTTCGCACCGGGCGGGTCCAATTAAAGGGTATAGTGCTGGCCAGATTGGATTTTTCAGACTAGACTCCCGACCTCTCTTAAGGGACAAGAGTGCACGACCACTCACGCCAGTCAAGCTGGTTAAAGGGGGTGTTATTAATAAGATAAAAGAAGATATTTTTGGAAGAAATGAGACATGATCTGTATGAATCATGAAACCATAAGAAGCCCAACCTAGATTCATATACAGCTGCTCTCTTGTTGTGGAAGAGGAGGCATAGTCACATGGGAGTGGCAAAGACAATGGCTGAGGATTTGGTGGAACCACATTAATGTCCAACTCATTTCTAGGTTTCTTTCCTCAATCTCTCCATCAATCCCTCTCTTCCTCAATATAAGATGGAGGACCAAACCCCCTATCACCCTCCTAATCCAATGTAATCCCATTTCTGACTCGACAACTAATATAACTTATCAATTATAAGCACAAAAGTGGTTGTTGATGAATGAAGTTAGGTTGCGTTTGTTTCAATTCTTTAATTTTTATTTATTTTTTAAAATTTCTCATTTATCTAGTTTTCCATTCTCTATAATATGTAGTAAACCTATTGTCACATTTTCAACAATTAATTGTGACAATGGTACCACATACATGACATATACAAGCTTTTAAGAAAGGTGATTAATGCAAGATTGAGCCCTTTCAAGATAATTTTGAGTAGATTAGAAATATTATAATAAACTATAAACAATTAAAAAAAATTGAAATACTCATGATTCTTTACAAGATAGTATCTGTTCAGCCCAAAGAATCTAAGCCCCCAACACCGGAGTTCGAACCTATACCCATCCAAAGGTAATCGGGATGCTATCACACTACACGATAGTTGACATAAACAATTAAATTAAACTTTAGTACGGAGTAATTATTAATTGTTGTATGAGAATATGTTGATTAGTCATAATATAGTATTACATGCAGTACATTCATTATATAGTAACTTGATTTAAGGCCAATTGTTATGTCGTGGAACCGTATCCACCTTACATTCTATGTTTATAATTACTTAACTCTATGTTCATAATCATAAAACTCTATGTTCATAATTTTTGAACTTCATATTCACAATTATTTAACTCTATATTCACAATTACAGAATTCTATGTTCATAATTACTGAACTATATGTTCATAATTATAAAACTTTATGTTCATAATTTTTGTACTTCATATTCACAATTACAAAACTCTATGTTCATAATTATAGAACTGTATGTTCATAATTTTTGAATTCTATATTCACAATTAGAAACAGTTTTGGAACTGTGTCTACCTTGCAAGGTGAACACGGTTCGTAGACCAATTGAAAGGGATGTAGCGCAGCTTGGTAGCGCCTTTGTTTTGGGTAAAAAATTTCACGGGTTCCAATCCTTTCATCCCTACCTATTCTTCTCCTCTGGGCAGTAACGAGGGATCCGTTGAGATCGATTCGGACATACATATTTTCATTTTATGAGACTAGGAGTTCCCGTCGAGAGGCAAATTCTTCATTTAGGAAAGATCCGATACCAAGTGAAAGCAAGCTAGCTGTTCCACAGCATAATTTGCTTAGTAGGCTAACATACTGGGCTTTTATTTAACTAAATGCAAATAAGTCAAGCCCAATTCCAATAAAGGCCCAAACTATATGTATAGGCCATTTGTATGGACCATGATCCACGTATCATTATGGAAATTGAATCCAAATGACGAAATACAAAATTTATATTTGTAAAATACAAAATTTCATAACACGACACAAAAAATACAACACGAGACACATACGCATGTTATATATTTACTTATTTTCAAATATGATTTAATTACATAATTTGTGTTCATATGCACAGAATTTCAAAACACAAGACTCAAATTCAAAACATAATATACAATTACTAATTTGTTTCATGTACAAAATTCATACTATTAAGGTACAGAATTTCATAACAAGACACAAAAACTCAACATCAAACACATACACATGTATCAAGATCCACATTGCAATGTGAACCCTTGTCCATGGTATAAGGATAGACTATGGATAAATATTTATTATTAGCTTTTTTTTTTTGTACAAAAGGTTCAATATTGGCCGAGTTTTGGTCGAGTATAGGCCAAAACGGCAAAGATGGGTGCCGCCTAACGCCTAGGCAGCCGAGTTTTGCAACCATGATATTTAGTAGTATACTAAATATACTAAATAAATAACTCTTAATACACAAACAACGAGCATTCAATGTATTAAAAATGCACATTCAATATATATTAAAAATGAACCGTTAGTGGTCCACCTTACTACCTTACAAGGTGGACTATGATTCATGGTATAATGATTAATATATACTCCGTATTTGATAATCCAAATATTCCGACTCACCAAATTATATTTTGAACCTCAAGAACGCATCCCTGAACCAAGTACGCAAAAAACAAACATTCAATATATTAAAAATGAACTATTAATGGTCTTACTATCTTACAAGGTGAACTATGGTCTTGGTATAATGATTAATATATATATATATATATATATATATATATATATATATAATAATCCAAATATTCTCGTCTCACCGAATTATATTTTGAACCTCAAGAACTCATCCCTAGACCAATAAGAATGTAAATTACATCAATCTAAATTCAAAATTATCAAATTGCACACAATAAGCTCAACACAAACCCAAAAACCATCGTGGCGAGAATCAAACTTCCACAATCCCGTTGAATGCAAGTCTTAAATGAGAATTCCATCCATTAAACTCACTATATATTGATATAAGCTAGTAAACATATTTTCTAAATTAAAAAAAAAAAAAAGAAAAAAAAAAAAAAGAAAAAACAAACAAACAAACAAAAAAAAAACAAACAAACAAAACAAAACAAAAAATAGAAGAAAATGAAACACTAGATTAAAGAAACAAAAAATCGAAGTAACCCAAAATTTAACAGAAGACAATAAAATAAATTTTTTATCCCACATTACACAATATTCTTCTCGCTCTCACTCTACTTAAGAATACAACACCTTCAAGGTATGAAGAGAACTCATTTCCATTCTGTCATAAGCAGAAAAATCACTGCATAAACTTAAGCAAAAGATGCAGTAACCCATTGATGACCAGAAAGTTGTGAGCTCTTCCACCTGTTGGGACTGGAATAAATAAAAGGAGAAATCAAAAACTATACTAGGATGCTAATGCAAGCCAAAAAAAAAACAGGAGTGACAGCGGGTAAAAAATGATTGGTTCTACATAAGAAATGCATGGAATAAGACACTTTGACTTACTATTGCATTTTCAATTGTAAGGTGCAAAAGTTCATACCTTGAATGCTAGTAGCTTTGTTCTTCTCATTCTATGAAAAACTTTTTTCTAAACGAGGGGTTTGGATCCCCAGAAGAGTGTCTAATCTCACAATCAAACTCGACTTCCAGCAATCGGTGGTTTTGTTTAGAGCGGATCATGTCAAAGTTGATTCTAACATCATCGCCTTTGCCAACACGCTTGGGAGGATGCAATAGAAACACCTGACAATTACACAAAGGACAGTAACAACCTTAATTGATAGTAATCACATTGCGATTCTTTTGCAAAGAAATAAACTAAACAAACTTCAAATTGTAGCAACTTGAGATGACAGATACTGATGTTTACGAACCTGCTGGCCCCAATGTGTACCAAACTCTACACTAGGAGCTGTTGTCAACTCAACCTCCAGTTTAACTGGATTGTCTTCACGTCCCTAGCAAAATGAACCAAACAAAGTTTGAATAAACGAAATTGGTTCACAGATATGTGCAATACCAGTAACGTGTAAAAACCCAGAGAGAGCAGAAGTCAACTCACTTTGAAGTGGACATCGAACCATCCACCAAACCCACAAACCCTTGCGAGTTCAGCAGTAATCAATGATGAAACACTTGCACGGACATTGAGTAAGTCATTAACAGTTGAAGTCAAGCAATCAATTTCCTTTATGATAGCAGGATATCCTATCACTTGATTTGGATGAAGGTTGCTCCAAAGTGACGTCTATAGAAATCATTAGCATGATTTTAGTATTCGCAACAGAGTAAAAGAGACTAGAATGAGCAATAGGGAATAGGAATCTTGAGCAGAAAGTCAGTCATGTTCAAGTACAAAGCAAACAGGACAGTTTTACAGTAAGGCAATACTGCAACTACTGTTAGGCCGCTTTAGCAGAAAGAACTAAAGAAATGGTTCACTCACTCGTGTGGAATTATGCAAGAATATATATATATATATATATATATATATATATATATATATATATATATATATATATATATATATATATATATATATATATATATATATATATGTAAGCCGATCTTTAGCAAATAGTGTCTCTGATTGCATAAAACTAAATGCAACTTTTGGTTATTCATGAAAATGATCCTATTTTCCCTCACCTCTGAGATAATACATTTGTGATCTCATCTTTAACAAATAATCAACTCTCATTATGCAAAACTAACCGAAGAGAAAATGTTTGTTTTTCATGAGAAGTATTTTCTCACTATTGCAAGCAACATTTACATAGGGGTAATAAGTCTACAGTACATGTGCAGTTCATGTACTAGTTGACGGCTATTGGTCACTTCTTAATCTTTCAATTAAACAATATAATAATGAATACCAACCTGTAAATAGTATTTTTTCTGTTCTTCCAGATAAGGTTTTGTTAAAACATTCATATCAACACCATAATGAGTTTTAGTATCATTCACAAATTGATGCCAATCATCCATGGCTACATCATAATCAATCTTCTTTTGCTCCCCTACTGCAGACCGGATAGGTGCTACCCACATCCTAGCATGGCTTGGGTACCTGTAAAACCATTTTACCAAGATAGAAAAGACATGAATCACAGGCATTGTGCTTGAAACAAGATTAGTAAAATGATGAAGCTAATATCACAAAGTTTGGTAAAGGCTGAAAGAAACAGCCGCTAAAAAAGTTGTGCGAATAAATGTGCAAAGACACCTACATAACTCCGTTTGGCTTCAGCCAGCGGTCACGGGCACAAATTACAGAATCAAACATTGACTCTCGAAGAAGAAAGTATCCCATCCATTCCGAAATAATCACATCAACTGCCAACCAATGCATTTGTTAAATAAGTATCAAAGAAGAAATAACCAAAAGAGTATTCATGCATTTATTACATATATGTATGAAAAGCTCTCACCTTTCTCTGGCAGATTAACATCTTCAATAGAAGCCTCAATAACTTCAACAACTCCCTCAAGGTTATTCGCCTTAACTAGTTCACGGGCATGATCTGCCATTTTGGTGGCTTCCACTGCATACACTTTTCTTGCACCAGCTTGCGCTGACCATATTGCTAGAATACCACTCCCAGTTCCTACATCCAATACAGCCTATTGTAGGGATAACCAACCAACTTAGTCAAATTACTTACAAAAAGAAAAAACCATAATTGTCAATGCATGAATTATATAATTAGAGTACAACCATTCTCTTTCTCAAGATTGCTGCTTTATTTGCAAGCTCCTAGGAAATAGGATAGTATAGAACTTTGTCTGTGAGAAAGTTTTTCATCTCACTTACAAGAAGATATGGGACAAAATTTAGGATAGTAGTAAATTAGCCACTCTTCCATATCTAACAAAGAATCTAATATGCAATACATGTATTTCTCTCTATCAAAATCTTGAGAACCCACAGAGGCACTGAATAGTAAGAACAATCTTCAACACCAAGCTCTCACCCCCCACCCCCAACACAACACACACCTTATAAAAATATAATCTTTTATAATTCCTCTTCATGAACTCTTTTTTTCTTCACATTTAGCACCCACGAAACAACACGTGTGTTAAGCTCATTAACCCAATAAATTATAATCAAATTTATGCATGCTGATAAAAATTCAAAGCAGCCTTGAACTCCAACCACACTAGAGAATTAAGAACTTCTTCAAACTATCCAACACTTATCAAAACACAGAAACGTTAGAAATTACAAACAACGCATATGAATCAAAACGTTAAATACATTGCGATGCATACATTAATACAAAGAGGGGGAGGGGAAGGGGGTAAAAGCTCGAACCTTTCCGGCAAAGTGATGCTTGTTCTGGAAAACGGCGTTGTAATAAGAGTCCATGCGAACGCGGTCGGTGAGCATGTCCTTCTGATGGTAGAGAAAGGCGTAAGTGCAGAAATAGTTGGCGAAATCGACGTCCTTGTCCACCGCAGCGGCGGCGCCGTCGCCGCGGCTGATGGCGGCGGGCTGGATGCCATTCGATGAGCTCCCCATGTCAGCTAACCAAAGCACAACGCAGAGAGACAGGGAGAAGAAGAGAGTGTTTGATGTTTTAGGGCAGCGAATGAGTCGCAATCTGGTGTGGAAAGCCGCAGGGGATATTGCTTGCTACTCCGTATACTCCTCCTTCACCTCCTTGCTTTTCTTTCCGTATTTATAATATTTCGGCTAAAGTGTCATCCCGCACCATGAACCATTCATGATTATTCATGCCACACCCACCCTGATCTTTAATAAGTGATATTTCAAGCCATAAACTATAAAAAAAAAAATTCGTCTAAAACTTTTAATAGATTTTCCAAGTTACCAGATGACGTGTCGCGGATTACTTGCTGATTTGGAGTCCACGTCAGCTTTATTAAAAATAAAATATATGAAATTTAATGCCACGTTTGCGAAGTTGACGAGCTTTGCGAGGCTCTGCGTCTATGTTCTTTTCTCTGTTTTAACCCACCGTGAAAGCCTCCATTGCAAGAGTTTCAAGAAATGGTGCATGAAACCAGTTTCTTGCTTTGGTTTTCTTTCTTGTACTTGTATTCACTTCGCCATCTTCAACCCAGATTCAAGCCTAAAATCTCTATGGTTCTAACAACAATTTCCAGACCACCACCGCCCACTTCACCGCTTCGTAGACTGCAATGGCTTCAGCAATCTTGACTTGCATAATTCCTTCAGTTGCCCCAGACTTTGCCGCCACAAAAGTTCCATTGGAGTCCTTAATAATAATGTCATAACCAGTTCTTTTAGAGCCTTGATCAGGGTTGTAAAAATCCCGCCTAGGCACCGAGTAATTGGCGCCTAGGCACTAGGCGCCCATAGACCGTGGCGATTTCCGCCCTAGGCTCCTGCCTAGGAGACTGGCCGCCTAGGCGCCCGCCTAGCACCTAATTCAGCCGCCTAGCGCCTAACTCGTCTGATTACGCCAAGTTAACTCGTCAATTTCTGTCGAGTTAGTCGAGTTAACCCGACCTTGCTAATTTTTTCCATTTATATGACATATACATATAATATGACATATATACACTCGTAGACTAGTTTGATACTTTCACTCTTTGGATGATTGAAGTATTTGGGTATTTCATTTGAGTTTTTTTTTTTTTTTAATATTCTTTTGATGTGATGACTTATGAATTTGTCATTATGTCATTTATTTGGATGTGTTATTTGATTGAATGTTGAAAACAACATCATTAAAATTGTCAAATTGCAAGTCTGCTACTGTTTTTTTCGCGACCGCCTAGCGCCGCCTAGATTCCGCCTAGGCGCCGACTAGGCCGCTTAGGCGCTAGGCGCTGCCCGGACGCCCGACTAGCGCCCAGCGCCTACTGCAACCATGGCCTTGATCAAGCGCAGCATCACAGTTCAATTTAAGCCAGCCTCCAGGTGGTGAAGTACTGAAGTCCACTTCGTATGAGGGGGAGAGGTGTCTACAGATTTGCTATTGGATTGGCAAGCTTTCCATGCTGCAAAAAAACTTTTTGTCTCCTCCAAGATGAACAATTGGTTTGTTTTTTAGCATTCCAGATCCCGTTGTTTCTTTTCTTGCTTCCAAATACCCGAAACCACCAAAATAAAAAGGCAGGCTGCATAACAATCTAAAGTAGGGGTGTGCAAAACCCGAAAATTTCGACACACCCGACCGACCCGAAACCCGACGGGTGCATCCGTGCCGCGAACCGTATCCGAACACCCAACCCGAACCGAGGCTACGCTATTAGACGGATGTAAGGGGTTCGGGTGGGAGGCATTAAACGCCACCCGAACCCGTCCGATTACCCGACTAAACCCTAGGATTTTTTTCCGCTATATAATACGATGTCGTTTGGTGTATGTATATATATCACTCATTTCATTGAGCGCAGCCGAGCTCTCAGTTCACTCTTGACTCTTCTAGACTTCTCTCAATCTCTCATCTCTCATCTCTCGACTCTCGTTCTCTCTTTCGCTCTGGTCTTTGAGACTTTGAGTCTTAGACTCTTAGTGTCTTACTCTCTAAGACTCTGAGAGTCTTAGTCTCTGTTTGTTAGTCTGGACTCTGGTGGAAGCCCTATTCGGAGACTCGGAGTAGCGACTGGCGGAGTGGTGGAACGGTGGAAGCCCTAGACCCTAGTCCGGTCACCGGAGTCTGGTGGAACTGTGGAACGGTGGAATAGTGGATTCGAAGCCCTTTGTTCTCGAGGGATTAAATCTGAGAAACGAAGTAATTACTAAACCCTATTTACATTTCCGTTATAGATTATTGTGTATTTGTCTTCTTGATTAGGGTTTCTAATTTTTATGATTATGTGGACTGTGATACTTGTAAATCCGTTGAGAAGTTCCGGATTGCATGTCACTAGTCCTTTGAGTTTGAATTTGTGAATTGTGTGATTAGGGTTTCTAATTTGTAACGTAAATATGTGGACTCACTGGACTATGATACTTGTAAATCCGTTGAGAAGTTCCGGATTGCATGTCAGTAGTTCTTTGAGTGTGAATTTGTGAGTTTGATTAGGGTTTCTAATTTGTAACCTAATCCGTGGACTCACTGGACTATGATACTTGTAAATCCGTTGAGAAGTTCCGGATTGCATGTCAGTAGTTCTTTGAGTATGAATTTGTGAATTGTTTGATTAGGGTTTCTAATTTGTAACCTAATCTGTGGTGGAAGCCATACTACCCTAGCCCCTTGCCAGTTGCCACTGTGTGTTAAATACTGAAATCCATATAAATGTTAAGCATGATGGTATTTGTGTGGAAGCCATATATAAATGTGGGAGTGTGTCCACTGTCTTGTACTCATGTGTGACTGAAATCCATATAAATGTGGGAGTGTGTGACTGAAATCCATATAAATGATGAGCATATAAAGTAGCATACACCTACTTAGCTTGAATGCCTGATTATGGATTTCATTGTAATTTGTAAGTTGTTAGTTACTTAGTTGTAAGTTGTAACTGTGAAAATGTGAAATTGTAAGTTTATGGATATGTGACCCTTAAATCATTTATGTGCAATTCTGCATACATGATGAAATGTTCAATTCACTGAATTCTGCCTGTTTAACACTTTAATTGATACATGTGTGTATGTGACAAAGGCCATTCTCTGTTGATGATTTTGAATGAGTGATTTCCCATTCTGTGTCACTGATACTTTCCCCTTTTTAGATGGAAAGTGTTAGTGGTGTAGAGACTGTTACTGGTGTATCTGGAACACAACCTGAGTTGGAAGCACCTGCTGTAGAGACTGTTACTCCTTAGTCTCAGCAGCCTTTGCCTCCACCTGTTCCAAAGAAAAGGAAAGAGGTTGAATCCAGGGCTCCATGTTGGGATCACTTTGAAAAGATCAAAGACAGTGAGGGCATTGTCATCAAAGGAAAATGTATATATTGTGCAAAAGTGTATTGCTGTGAGAGCAAGAAACATGGGACTTCTTCTCTCAGACTTCATGTGGTAAACTGCCTTAAAAATCCTCACTCTAAGGAGACAAGGCAGTCCCTACTCACATTCCAACCTGCACCTTCTTCTGCTGGAACTCAAAGTAGTGAAGGAACTGAAGGGGTGTTGGGTACTTGGGTGTTTGATCAAGACTTGATAAGGAGAGCCTTAGCTGAGATGATTATTTTAGATGAACTTCCTTTTAGGATTGTTGAGGGACAGGGTTTTAGAAAGTTTGTTTTAGTTTGCTGTCCTAGGTTTAAAATCCCTTCAAGATGGACTATCAGTAGGGACATTTTCAAGATATTTTCTGATGAGAGGGTCAACTTGAAGAAGTTTTTTAGGACTAGCAGTCAGAGAGTAAGTATCACAACTGATACTTGGACCTCGGTCCAGAGAATAAACTACATGTGCATAACTGCACATTTCATTGATAGTGAGTGGAAGCTGCAAAAGAAGATTATTTCATTTGTTCCTATATATTCCCACAAGGGGGAAAGTATTGCAAAGGCTTTAGAGAGTTGCCTTTTGGACTGGGGTCTAAAATCAGTGTTTAGTGTGACAGTAGATAATGCTTCCAGCAATGATACTGCCCTAGGATTCTTGAAGAAGAAGTTGGGCTCTTGGGGTTGTACTGCTGTTAGGTGTAAGTATTTGCACATGAGGTGCATTGCTCACATTCTTAACTTGGTGGTACAGGATGGGTTGAAAGAATGTGACAGTTCTGTTAAGAAAGTCAGGGATGCTGTTAGGTATGTGAGGAGCTCACCTGCTAGGTTGCAGAAGTTTAAATCACTAGCTGATCTAATTGGGGTGGAAGCTAAGAATTCTCTGTGTCTAGATGTCCCTACAAGGTGGAATTCCACATATATGATGCTTAATACTGCATTACTGTTTCAGAAGGTATTTGAAGCCTATGATGATCATGACAGTTCATTTAAATCTGATTTGGGTGGAAGTGTACCTGATTTCTTAGATTGGGAATCAATTCAATCTTTGGTTATGATTCTAAAATCTTTTTATGAAATGACTGTTAGGATTTCTGGATCATTGTATGTGACTTCTAATACCTTCTTCTCTGAGATTTCTGATTTGTCTTGCTTGTTGAAAAATATGGAGGAAGCTACAGAAGATAGTGTTAAACTAATGGGTAAAAATATGAGGGCAAAATTTGATAAGTATTGGGGTGAGCCTGAAAAAATGAACTTTTTGATATTCTATGCAAATATCTTAGACCCTAGGGACAAAATTGAGTATATGCCCATTCAGTTTAACCAGTTATATGGTGAGGACAAGGGTAAAACAATGTTTGATAAGGTGATTGTTGGCCTTAAGGAGTTGTTTGAAGATTATGTTGCATGCTTCCCTGTCCAGTGTGTTGAACAATCTGAAAAATTTTCTCCCTCAATAACAATATCTGATTCAGTTTCTGTTGGGAGACCTCAATCATTACTGAAATCTCAGATTAAGAAGCAAAAATTGGTGAGTGGGGATTTGTCTAGGAAAAAAACTTAGTTGGAAGTGTATCTCTCTGAGGTTATTGTGGATGAGGATGATTCATTTGACCTTCTAAGATGGTGGAAACAACAATCTGAAGGTTCCCTGTCTTATCTAAAATGGCAAGGGATATTCTAGTTGTTCCAATATCAACTGTTGCTTCTGAATCAGCATTCAGTACAAGTGGAAGGGTACTTGATGCCTTTAGGAGTTCCCTAACTCCTAGAATTGTTGAGGCATTGGTGTGTGCACAGGATTGGCTAAGGTTAAGCAACCAACCAATCTCAATTGAAGAAAATATTGAAGATGTTGAAAGGATTGAGAAAGGTATATACTTCTAACTTCCAGCAATGATCTGTTTAATTGTTTAAGTTTTAATTTCCATTTTGTTTTTGTACTGCAGAGTTGTGCTGCACATCCAGCACTGGAACTGGAATGCCTACAATTGTTGTATGTTTACTTATTTACTTATTTGATTTGTGATTACTTATTTACTTATTTGATTTCATGATAAATTTATGCCTCATTGCCTCTGTATCAGTGTATCATGTATGTGTATCAATGATTCAAATCAATGTCCCTCGTGAGGCTGGGAAGTTGGAACTGGAAACTGGAAAGTGCTCATGGCTAGGTAACATTTTAAATGTTGCTGCCATTGAGCTCAGGTATCAGTATAAGTACTGACTAAATGTCTAAATGTGACTTCTGACTTCTGACTCACTATACTTATAAGTTATACTTGTATAAATGTTCATTATTGTGCTATGATGATGCTTCCACCATGTTCTCTGAATATATAGAATTGGGTTTGGTATGTTGCCTTTGAAGTGTGGTGTTTATGTCATACTCATTGAGTAGTGTGCCCCCAATCCTAACTTGATATGGAAAAAAAAGCTCTATCTGAGCATTCTTTTAGTCTTTTACAGTTTCAGTTTGTGTGATTGTGTTATTTGTGTCAATTCTAACTAACTACAAATGTTTTGAACTTATTGTGTTTTTATGTGTTCACTTATCAGGAAGAAGAATAGACATAGAGTACTCTATATTATATTAATCATATATTCATATATTGCTTTTGGAGTTTTGGATATCTGGCTTTCTTTTGCTCAATGCCTGAAACATGAAAGCTGAATGCCTGTATAAATGTTCATTATTGTGCTATGATGATGTTTCCACCATGTTCTCTGAATATATAGAATTGGGTTTGGTATGTTGCCTTTGAAGTGTGGTGTTTATGCCATACTCATTGAGTAGTGTGCCCCCAATCCTAACTTGATATGGAAAAAAAAGCTCTATCTGAGCATTCTTTTAGTCTTTTACAGTTCCAGTTTGTGTGATTGTGTTATTTGTGTCAATTCTAACTAACTACAAATGTTTTGAACTTATTGTGTTTTTATGTGTTCACTTATCAGGAAGAAGAATAGACATAGAGTACTCTATATTATATTAATCATATATTCATATATTGCTTTTGGAGTTTTGGATATCTGACTTTCTTTTGCTCAATGCCTGAAACATGAAAGCTGAATGCTGATGTGCTGATTGGAGAGTTGGAGACTGATGCAGTGATGCTGTTGGAACATGCCTGCTTGCTATGAACAATTAAAATTCTCATTACAAGTTTTAATTTTGTAACTTGTAACTTGTAAGCTAATCTGCTGATTATATGTAAGCTAATTTGTATAAGTTTACTTATGTTATTTACTTATTTTTGCTGTTAAGTAGTTAGTAATTACTAGTTAGTGGCTTTTAGTACTTAAGTAGTTCATTAGTTAGGTACTTAGCCACTTAGGTGTTCCATTTAAATCCATGAATAGAATATTTGATTTTAAGTTTTTTTCATTCTGATAAATCCGAATTACAACACGGATATCCGACCGATCCGAACCAATCCGAAAATAAAAATAACCGATCGGATTAGTCAACAAAAATAAACGGTTAGGGTGGTCAAAATGGAAATCCGAAATCCGACCGAGAGTCTCATTCCGCAATTCGATCCGTCCGATCCGTCCGACTGCACAGGCCTAATCTAAAGATGACATATTGAGATGCAACAATTCCTGGGGATTAGCATTGTCCAGACTCTGAATATCTCCCAGTCTACTCCAGCAATCCTTAGTGAAAGTGCAATGCATGAAAATATGAGAAATTGATTCCCTCTGGCCGTGACAAAGAACGCAGCTTGGTTAATTCTTAAGATAACTGGTTATGGCATTATTATTAGGGACTCCAATGGAACGCAGATCACAGCATCACTGGTTATGGTTCTTTTAAGAGTTAATTTTTTTTAAAATTAAAAAATCCATGTCAGCCTATTATTACCGGTAACTTGTGAGAAACCTGTAAAAAATGCTAGACGAACAAAAATTAATGATTTATGACTCAAAATATCACTTATTAAAGATCAAGGTGCGGCATGAATAATCATGAATGGTTCATGGTGCGGGATGATACTTTAGCCTAATATTTCAAATACAGTAAATTGCAATTTTAATTATTAGAGTTTTGTTAATTTCAATTCACCATTATTAAAATTGTTAATTTAGTGCTTAGTTATTTAAGTTTTATTAATTTTGGCCATTCTAATCTCTTTTCTTTCTTATTCCAGGGGAGAAGAAAGAAAAAAAAAAATGACTAAAATACTCTCATTATTTTACCTATTAATATTGAATATTGTCCCAATTGGGGCTTGAGCCCATGACTTCTCATTTTAGAGAGTCACTTCATGCCACTTGATCACAAGGTTATTGACATATTACTTTGGAATAAGGGTCAAATAGACCACTGAACTGCACACGAGAATGCAATTAGGCCACTGAACCTAAAAAACCTACAATTGGGTCCCTAAACTAACCAAATTCATTCAATTTGTCTATTTTTCAAGTTTCTCAAGTTTCTAACAAGTTATCCCTCCACCTAGGATGCATATGTGGCATTTAAAAAATAATAATTTATTTTTAAATTAGTTTTTTTTAATGTTTAATAAATAAAAACTAAAATAATTTATTTTTAAATTAGTTTTTTTATGTTTAATAAATTAAAACTAAAATAATTTGTTTCTTTTTTTGAAAATAAAATCCAAAACCCATGTACGATTAACAAATTATTTTATTTTTTTTAAAAAACAAATTATTATTATTTTTATTTATTAAACATTAAAAAATGAATTTGAAAATAAATTATTTTTTAAAAAATGCCACATATGCATCATAAGTGGAGGGGTAATTTGTTAGCAACTTGAGAAACCTGAAAAATGGACAAATTGAATGAATTTGGTTAGTTTAAGGACCCAATTGTAGGTTTTTTAAGTTCAGTGGCCTAATTGCATTCTCGTGTGCAGTTCAGTGATTTATTTGACCCTTATTCCTATTACTTTTAATGTATATTTTAATTATATTAATTTTATATACTAATACTAAACTTATCAAGTTACCATTATGAAATTTTGAAATAAAAATAACTACAGTCAAGTCTCGTTAACCAGACCAAATACATAGTGAAAGTATATTATTTTACTTGTCCTCCATGAATATTACTCTTAATTGTCTGAATTAAAACTTGAAAAGTAACACTCTAAATCTTGAGTATTTTGAATAAAATGTATATTACTGTCACTTATCACTAGCATTATTTGTAGGTTAAAATGAAGAAAAATAATCACTTTTAAATAACTTTAATTTTCTCATTTGAAAAATAATAATCTTTATCTTTATATATATATATATATATATATATATATATATATATATATATAATAAAGCAGAATCTAGCCACAAAATTTTCTCTTCAAAGTGTGATCTTCCTCTTGGCTTATGTAGAGATATTGATTCCTTCACACAACAATTTGCTTCTCGTATCGACGAATTAGAAGAGATGTCAACCGACAACCGTATCTGGAAACAACGATTAGTGGATATTGGTACTGTCACTGCACAGCAAGCAAAGGATTGGGGATTCACTGGTGTAATGTTAAGAGGTTCAGGGGCAAGATTAGCAAGTATGAATGCATTAATTGTGTGGGTGGATATATTTATACATATTTTTTTGAAGTTATTATGTGTATTTATATTTTATAAATTATATTTTATTATTATAGTTATATATCTATCTCTATCTCTATCTCTATATATATATTAAAGCATAATGAAGTATGGAAAAAATTTTATTGTATTGAAATTTATATATATTCATTTAAACCTCAATTATAATTAATTTGACTCCACATATATAAATAGGAGAAATTAGATATAAAATAAATATAGTCCTTACATAAATAATCTTTTTCAAATGAATAAATTTTTGAAAAATATCGCATGTTATTTTATTTACAAGTTTTATTTAAATACATTACTTATTACTTATATAATTAAAGTAGTTATTTCAAATTCAGATTCCTTTAAAAAAATCAAATTCAAATAATAATACAAGTAACAATAAACTTTAAAATCAACATAATAATAGCATAATTAAACTTTTAAAAATATTAAATATTACATTGTATAGTTATACTTATATTTTTAATCAAACTAATTCTGAGTTCAAGAACTCAAGTACGTATTTATGTTTCCACAACCATTACTTACTTTACTAATTCAAAGGATGTCAAAAATTTAATTGGTAAATTTGTTAAATTAATAATAGTTCGTGCATCGCACTGGACAATTACTAGTATAAAATGATAGTGATGAATATGTTTTATATTTTAATATTATTATTTTTAATTTATAATAAAAAATTGAGAAAATTGTGAAAATGAGAAACATATAATAAAAAGGGAAAATGTACTAAGTAAGTCTTTTTTTCTTTTGGTTTGAAATACTCATAATTCTTTACAATGTAATATATGTTCTATACTTTCTCAAACATTTTATATTTTTCAACCAAAGAATATAAGTCCCACCAATGGAGATCGAAACTATGACAACCCATTTGAATTGATAATCGAGATGTCATCACACTAGATTACTAAATAAGTCTTTAAACACCACATATATATATATATATATATATATATATATATATATATATAGTTAATACCCAAAATCGTCCTCGACTATAGTGATTTTTCTCAATTTCGTCCTAAACGACTTTGGTGACCTAATATCGTCCCAGACTTTTGTGTTTCGCTCAATTTCGTCCTCCATTTGTTATTCCGTCAAATTGGTGTTAAATAAAGGGACAATTCAATAATGTCAATATTGATCTTTCTTTACTTTCAACTTGTGAAGTGCGAAATTCCTCTTTCTTGTACGAATTACACCCAAAATTACTCCCGGACTTGCAAATCAAATTTTATATTCGCAATTTTAGGAGTAATTCTGGGAGTAATTCGTAAAAAAAAAAAAAGGGATTTCGCAGTTCACATGTTTATGAGTAAAGAGATGCCAATATTACAATCACTTAATTGTCTATTTATTTAACACCAAATGTACAGAATAACAAATGATGGACTAAATTGAGCAAAAGCACAAAAGTCTGGGACAAAATTGCGCGAAACACAAAAGTCCGGGACGATATTAGGTCACCAAAGTCGTTTAGGACGAAATTGAGAAAAACCACTATACTCGAGGACAATTTTGGGTATTAACTCTCTCTCTATATATATATATATATATGTGTGTGTGTGTGTGTGTGTGTGTGTGTGTGTGTGTGTGTGTGTGTGTGTGTATTTCTTCTAGCATTGTATAATCTTTGAGAAAATTTCAATTTTGGTCATATGACTATAGGGGCTTTGTTAATTTTAGCACCTGACTTTCAAAAGTGTCAATTTGGTACCTTAACTATGCAATTGTTATCAATTTTGGTCACTCCGGTCAAATTGCCGGTCAAAATTCGCTAGCAAATTTTAACAGTTAAAATAATAAGGGTATTTTAGTCATTTCACATCTCTTCCTTCTTCTCCGGCGATTTTTTTTTGCCAGCGGAGAACACCATCGTCGCGATCCGGGTCGCCCAGACTCGCGTCAACACCCCGAGGCTCAACGCCAACAATGTTCACGCCAAACAGCCTCAGTTGCTTTGCAGCAGCCTTGCATTGGACCACAACCACCGACTCGTACACCATTGCTTAGGTGCACTCTCTACGACGCCATTTTTCCCGCTTCAAACCCTTCCAGAACCACTACAAACACAGGGATATATACCTACATGGACATGGTTGAGGGTGATGTCGGTGTTATTGAGGGCCTGCTGAACCGATGGCGAGATCTTGGTAGTATCCTCGTAGACGGAGATGGAGATAGGCCAGCAGTAGTTCAATTTGACCAACGCCAAGCTAATATTCTGCGCGATCGGTTCGCATGCGACTAGAGTGGCCAAAATTCGCTGGAAAGAAAAAAAAGAATTCGCCGGAGAAGAAAGAAAAGATGTGAAATGACTAAAATATCCTTATTGTTTTAACTGTTAAAATTTTCCGGTAAAATTTGGCCGACAATTTATCCGGAGTGACCAATAAGTGCCATATGCCTCAAAGATGATCTTCAATGCAAGTTTGTTATGTTATGCTAGGCGATATGGGCAAGCAGAAACGCATGTATCTGGCGAGGCAAGCAGTTCTCGAGAGATTCCGTCAGTACAAAGATGAAAATTAGAAAAAATAAATGATGTCATTTACTTTCAAAAAAAAAAATGATGTCATTTCTTTAAAATAATAAAGACAAAGATAAAAAAAAAAACTTAAAAAGGTACTAACTTATTTTGAAATGCTACCTAAAATAACGTTTCAAAATAAATTCTTATTTAAGCTACGAACTTATTTTAAAAACATTACCAAACAAAGTTTATAACTTAAAATAAGCTCCTTCAAACAAAGCCTACGTCGGTACAAGTCAATCAATGGTGAGCCGTGCTGATAATGTAACGACAAACGAACATTAGTGTTATAGTTATGAGTAGATATATAGACTGAAACGAGAGCGATACATCATACATCACAACTGAGACTTTCTACGCACAGGAGAGAGCGAGGCGCTTCGGAAACTGCGCGTCATCGAGATTTCAGGTAACAATTGAAGCTACCCAGAAACAAAAAAGATCTATCTGATCTTCCTCGCGTAGAAATGCATTTTTCTTTTTGGTATTTATGCTTTTCTGCGTTGTTTCTACATTCATGTACTATCTCCTAATCGTGCTTGATTCATAATTTGGTCTTCGATTTGTCCGGGGCTTTGACGTAAATCGAAAAAATGTTCGTCATGAAGATGTGGGTTTTCTGTTCTTGTCACTGATAATCCATTTTTGGGTATTTTTCCGGATAATTATAATTAAATTTCCCAGCTTTACTTTGGGATTTCTCTCTCTCTCTCTCTCCAATAAATTATTCTCTTGCTGTAATTCGAGTTGAAAATGAATGCCTGATTATCTGTGATTAAGGAGACTTTTGATCCGCATATTTCTCAGCTGGGTTAGTGGATTTGTTAATGTAGATTCAACTACGTCGATACTAAGGTATCTCTATTGTAAACTGTTTGCTGGGTACAAACTAATGGATTTTCTAATATTGAGTAGCCTTGGTTTTATGCACATTTCCTGAGTTTGTGCAAGTGTGTTATACCAATGGCTGTATTTCATTTTCAGTTGTAAATGATGAGTTGGGCTGTATTACTTGAGCTAATCTTAATTTCTTTTACCTGTAGGTGAAATATACAATTGTTCTAACAGTCTGCTCTCAGTTTTGTTTGAAGGAATGAGTTTCACTGGCTCTTCTGTAGCTTCTGGTTAGTATTTTAATCGTATTTATTTTATTTTATTATTTTTGAGCATGTTCCATTAGCTAAGAATAATTCTGGATGATGTTTTTGTTGGATCCTGTAATTCATCCTAATGGGTTTGGAGTAGTTTAGTAGTCTAGTAGCTTTTGATCCATTATATTTGCAGTATCTGTTGTTTCTTGTACTTAGCCTTTGTGAAAATCATTGAAAATTTGGCTGGTTATGGAGGAAAACACCCAAATACTTTCTTTCTCTGGTTCTTTTTATTCGTAGGAGAAAGGGTGAGGTAGAAGTATAAGTGAAACATTAGGAGACATATCTATATTTGCACCGTATTGTCTATTATAATGAATAATGGAGAAAATTTTATTGTTATTATTATTATTATGATTATGATTATGATTATGATGATGAGAATCTTGCCAAATATATTCAATTGTTCAATCTGCAAATGCAAGGGAGGAGTACTAATCAAAAGAAGAAATGATTTTGACGACTTTGTCTCTGTATATCATTTCTTTATTCTTTCATAACTGAGTGAACTGTAATTTAAATCCTTATAGCTGGTAGAACTGCTGGAAGGTCATTCAACTTTGGACGGACTTATGTGGTGAAGCCCAAAGGTAAACACCAGGCAACTATTGTTTGGTTGCATGGCCTTGGAGACAATGGCTCTAGGTACTTCCATCCCTATTCCTTTTTGTGAGTGTCAATGTGATATGCTTTTGCATAAAGATTGTGTGCATCCTCCTCTTCCTATGACCTTGCCTTTAAGTGTCTTAATATCATTTGTCACTTGAGAATGGGTTTATCACTTTATCTCATGTCCTTTATCTTGTTTCTGGAAGCCCGGCATATTGATCTTACCACGCTTGGAAGTATAACTTTCTGTTAGCAGGACCCAATCTTTAATATTTCCTTTAGTGAAAAGGATTAATAAGTGATTTTGTTTCATGTTGAATTACAGTTGAAATTAATGTATGAGAGTGCTTAAATGAATATAAAATTAATTCTGTGAGCAATAGAAGTAAACTTTTCATTTTTATCTTTATCGAAGTGAAGAGGGCATCGGTGTTACGTCTTCCTTGCTATGGAGTATGGAGTTCTCAGTTAGTTAGTTGATATAAATGTGTTCATCATCCATACAACCATCCAAACTCAATTATGAAGCTTACTTAATCACATTCTTTGCTTTGATTTTCTTTTTTTGACAGCTGGTCCAGTCTTTTAGAGACTCTTCCTCTTCCAAATGTAAGGATTAGTTCCATAGATGTACTTGCATTAACCTTTTGTTGCATCATTCTACATTGGAATATACATGCTTTTGCTTATTGATGCATTTAACAGTCTGATTGTGTTATTCCAATGTTTTTTTAAAATGCAGATTAAATGGATCTGTCCAACGGCCCCTCAGCGGCCAATAACTTTATTTGGAGGCTTCCCTTCAACTGCCTGTATGTTGCCCTGCTATTTTAGCTGTTACTTTTCATTTTGATCAGCATATATGAGCAAATCTTACTGTAGTTATACTGTCTTAAATACGTTGGGGGAGAAAGAATCATTATGCAATCAAAATTGCTTTATATTACTAGTTGACCTAAACACTTCACACTTTTTTGCTGAAAGTTATGGATGTTATACTGTCCATAGAGTTCGATATTAACACATGATATAGTTGACTATGTCATCAATAAACACTTTTCATGGTTGAATCAGGGTTTGATGTGAATGAGCTTTCCGAAAATGCAATTGATGATGTAGAGGGCCTGGATGCTTCAGCGGCATATGTGGCAAGCTTGTTGGCTACTGAGCCTTCTGAAAGTGAGTTTTTATCTCGCAGTTCGAGAAATATAATTCCTGCCCTAAAGATATTTAAAACTTTTCTTGTTTTGGCCTTTTTAAAATTCTTGCTATTTCAGGTTGCTATGATTTCTTGTTTCCTAATGGGCTTTCATGTTTTAGGATATCAGATTTTGAGATTTTATTTTCCTCTTTTATATAATATGTTGGTATTTAGGGAGAAATAGTTCCTACTCATTGTATGATTATGGGAACCAACATGGTTGGCGTGGTGGTTCAGCACCTCGTCCCTTAAGCATGAGGTTGGGGGTTCGATCCCCACCCATGTGAATCGAGCAAACCATTTGGCCAGTCCCCTACCACTTAGTGTGCTGACAGTAGGGACGGGGGATTAGTCCTTCTGGCTATCGGCTGGAGGGATACCTTTGGGCAACCAAAAATAAAAATAAAATTGTATGATTATGGGTATATTGCCCGTTTATATAAGCATATACCTCATCTATCTAATTATGCATTTGATTTTGACAAACAACTCTGCTACTACTAAAATGTAGCTGAACAGAAAATGCAGCCCCCCTCGCTAATTATGCTCAAGTTCTCAGTAAGAACATAACGGCTTATCACCCTTTCACATTTATTAATACAATTTGTGTTTTGCAGTCAAACTTGGTGTCGGAGGCTTTAGCATGGGTGCTGCAACCTCCCTTTACTCTGCAACTTGTTTCACGCATGGGAAGTATGAGAATGGAAACTCGTACCCTGCCAACTTAAGTGCAGTTGTTGGATTAAGTGGCTGGCTTCCTTGTGCAAAGTTTGATGCCTAGCAACCTTCCCTTATTTCTTCTTATTACAAGCACGTTGGATCTAGTAGATATTTTTGTTGATCTATTATTCTGGCAGGACTTTAAGCAACAAAATGGCAGGGGTAGAGGAGGCTGCAAGGCGGGCTGCTTCACTGCCTATCCTGCTTTGTCACGGCAAAGGTATTTGATTTTTGTGTGGTCTCATTTGTATGGCGTATATATGCACTGAAAATTGATTTTCTTTCTATGTACAGCTATTTTCTATTTTTTTAACCAGGTGTAACTTGATATTTTTTTCATACAATTTGATACAGGAGATGATGTCGTTCCATACACGTTTGGCGAGAAGTCATCCCAAAAGTTGATTTCATCCGGATTTCCAGATGTCGCATTCAAATCATACACAGCGTATGTGCCTTGCACTTTTGAGATCTCGTATTTATGACATTTTGTAAAATAAATTCAATAAACCATCTAGCGTTGTTTGATTGACAGCCTCGGTCACTACACTATCCCAGAGGAGATGGATGAAGTTTGTGCATGGTTAACCTCCAAGCTCGGGCTCGATGGGAAATAGTTATCTTCCCATTTTGTTAATTTTGATTGTTGCTCAAAGGGCACTATGGTGATATGAAGGTTGCAAAATTGCTTTGTTTTTTGTTTTTTTTTTTTCATCTTTTTTAATGGATTGTATTTGACAAGTATTCCATCCAGAAGGTTGTAGCTTTACTCATATTGTATGAATTTATGGACCTTTAAATTATCTCTTTATTGGCTTGGGGGAAGTAAACAGTGCTATTTGGTAATTTCCACTCTGAATCTATTCTGTGCTTTATTTCTTGTATTCAAACCTCAATAATCTGTCTCAACTCAACTCACAGAGCTATGCAAACCTTTATGAATATTTTGTACAAACTTGATGAACATTTACTTCAAAAATGTAAAAATGGAAGAAATCTATCTTCAAAAGCCCTGGATGAACAATTGAATTGGCTGTTCTGAACAGTGAATTACAAGCATAATGTTTGCTTTGAAAGCAATGGAAGTTGCAATGATTAAGCAATCACTTGAAAAGCCCCACTGAAAATACACCTCAAGAGAATATGAAGAAACCATTACTTGTGGGGGCCACAAGGCTCATGATACAATGTGCTCTCTACTGTCTACACCAAATAATGCTCCTCTACTCTACTGCCATTGATCACAATTTTGCCACTTGCAGAAGAAAGTTGTTGAACGATTCAAGCCAATCACGAACGGATTTCGAATAAATAATGTCTCACTTGGATATCTCCCTTATAAAGCACACTTCCCCGCTGCCACGGGGAGGTGATAGCAGGTGCTTATCTGGATCGCCATCCTCGCTTTCATTGGGTTCCTGGGGTGTTACAGTAGAGAGCGACCCACTCCCATCTTCTTCTGGGGCACAATGAAAAGAATTAGCAAGTTCGGAGTAGCAGAAACATTCGGTCTATAGTAAGATCTGTTGTTTGCATTCACGAAAGGAGGATGAAATTCGTAATCGAAGACAAATATAAGAAGAAACCACCTGCACAAATATGGTATTCAGGAAGCTGTTTAACACTCGTTACTTGAAGGTATTCGGGAAGAAGACAGCTGCAGAAAGCACCTGAAAATTTAACACCAATTAATCATTCAATGTATAGAAATATTAGGGGAAAACCACCGATTCTTGGACTTTAAAGTTGCTTTTTTTCCTAAATAAAAAGAAAGTTTAGAAGTCGAGGGAGATGATGAATCGGGAAGAAATTATTACCAAGTCTGGCAAGTCGATTCACCCACCCGGGAATCCCCTTCCTAGTCAGTCTCCTAGCCATATCATCTGTGAAATGGTTGCAGTTCTTGGAGATGAGGTGGTAGGTGTCCCCGTGGTATTCAGAAGCCACATTTTCGATAAAAGTTCGGAATTCATATGGAGGTAGGTTAATCTGACCCAGCGGGATCGAACATCTGTAGCTAAAACCTGGGCAGCTCTTAGGCTCCACTTCAAACACCCCGCTTATAGGAAAGTCATGCGCTCCAAAACCATATTCCATTCCATGGACTGGAAATTTTTGCAATGCGGAAACAAAACTGAAAATTAATTCTTAGTAAAGTCTCATTGCTTCATTTCGCAACATCGTTTCATCATCAGGTTACAATAAAACGTCACTTTATTGTTCTTTTATTTTTCACATGCCTAGTCTACCAAATAAGTCTTCCGAGAAAATACACATGCTTATAGAAAGAGAGGTAGAGATCAACTTATCTGGTCACAAAAAGACCGCATAATCTCACAAATAAAACATATTTGTATAATCACTTTAAAATCATATCAAGAACAATCAACTAATATCAATCTGGCCAGCACTTTGTCCCTTAATTGGGCCGCCCCGGTGCGAACAGGGATTAGTCTGAGTATGGTACGGGCTTAAAGGTGCCTCCTACAGTTAGGGCCTACTCAAGACACCTCGTGGTCTGACAAAAAAAAAAAAACTAATATTCACCGTCTCCGTGTCTTGTGCAACTAGTTACAAAGATGCTTGAAGTATGCCTACTTATGATCAATTTATGCACAGAATATATTCTTTAATAGATAGATAACCCAAGCAACCCGATGATTTATCTGGAATTTCATACGGATCCACTCATTATGAAGATAAAAGCATATCTTAGAGAAGCAAATCAATACAGCATGAGCATCTATAGAATATTTAGAATGGAAATGAGGGAAAGTTTGTCACATCTGCATGCTGTTTTTGCAAAAAGAAGCTTACTTTTCTGCTTTTATGCTCACTTAACTTTCAAAGATTGTAATGAATGAAAATGGAGGGAAAAAAAAAAGATAAAATGAACATGTATATACAAAGATATCCATGAAGGAAAAAGGAAATAGAATCAGTCTAGAAGTAACTCATAAAGCACGAAAAAGATCAAAATTGAAAACAGTGAAAGAAAAAGGGAGTTCAGTTATTGCTTGCTCCTTAAAACCTTGGCATTTGTAACATGCTTCGAAGGACCAATAACCGACAGCATCTCTAGTGTACACTGTACAGGAAGACTCTCGAGAATGCTTGTAGACATTAGAAACTGTTCAATTATTTATTTCCCGAAAACTACAGCCTACCAATTGCTTCAAATCATTCCTATTATTTATGGTTCTAATTTTCTAGATCTACATGGCTATTCAAAGAAAGTCAAGGGTACATCATGAATCCCATCAAACTTAACATGCCAATAAAGACTAAAGAGAGATTCAAAGTGAAATGAATGTCATTGCAATCTCCACTTCCTTATTCCATCTTTTTCTTGGGTCTAGGAGCCAGAAAGGCACAAAGAATCATCTCTACCAAATATGGAATATTGGAATACTAATTCAGACTTAATCAATAAGACTCCATTAAAAACCTGTCCTTCAAACAACAAATTTTCAGTACCAAGAACTGTTCAAGATTTCAGAAACTCTATCACAGAGACCAACCACAATATGTTTCAATAACTAGAGAAAAACCCAATTCCTTAAAAACCAAGAAATGTTAAGCAAAAACAAATGCACATAAACATAAAACATAGATATATGCAAAAAAAAGGGTGGATTGATTGGGTGGTGCTGACCTTCAATCCCAGAATGGAAGATGCCAAACCCAAACCAAATGGTATAGTGATTGATGGGAGTAAGGTCATAGACGTTCAATATAACCTGCGAGCCGCGGCTGACGTTGCTGCTATTGCTGTCGGCGGTTGAATCGCTTGCATTTGCAGGCTCTCGGCTTGAACAAGAATGTGAGACGATGTTCCCTTCGCCCATTTGATTACCTTTTTCAAGAAACATAAAAAAGGCCCTTTTTTTTTTCTTCTTCTCCCTCTGGCTAGCGATGATAAAACATCCCAGAGTGAGATGTTTTGAGTAGTTTCGAGTGTGATGTTCCAACCTTCAAATCTTGAACGATTTGGGTCTCTCTCTCTCTCTCTCTCTCTGGGATTCTCTGATTCTTTCTCTCTCCGACTAGTGATTAGTGATTACACTTCTGGGAGAGGAAAACTATTTTCATTACTATTTGCTCCCCTTAATTGCTTATCAAGCTTAGACTCCCTACAGCCTTAGATCTCACTGCAAATTTCGTTTTCGCTTTCTTTGTCATGGCAGAAATGGATAGAAACAATCAATTATCAGAATTTCGGGGAAATTAATATATTTTTACATTAAATGTACGGAGAAATTAATTGGAATAATATGCAGAGTATAAATTTGAACAGAGTGACGTGTAAAATATTTGTTTATTGGATGTCCAATAATAGAATGTATGATAAATGATATAAAATGATTAAAAAAATAAAAATAAAAGATTGTTTGATAATGATGACAATTATTGATGAAACAACGTTAATATAAATTTATTTGTATGAGTTGTCGAATTATTTGGCTTTTGAAGTGTACGTTCAAATTAGATTACAAGTGTGTTGGTTCTTTTTCTCTTTTTTTTTTTTTTTCGCGTGTCAAAAAATCTGTCGTTATTATCTAAGAACGTGTAATATATGTGGAGAGGTTCATGCTTTACTTACTTGACTACCCTTTTTTCACAAGCTTTTGAGATGTGTCGGACAAGGAATAAGAAGTTGAAATAGACAAGTAATCTGCAAGTATTTTTGTACAAAGCTACAATTTAATTAGTTACAATATGAAAAAGAAGACGTGACGAGAGTTCAAAAAGTTATATTCTAAGAAGATTGATTGCTCAAGTTATTATTCTCAAATTTATACACTTGGTAAACATCAAGCTTTGAAAGTTGAACTTATTCGGGTGGACCATACACCACGACACCACGTGAAGGGGATTTCATGGAAGAGTGATACAAGGAATTTCTGGTATAAATTTAGCAAATGATGTACATTTAGTACATAAATAATGTAATCTTTTAATATATTAAAAATGTACATTGTATTCAGGAAAAATACATTATTTGAGTATTGAAAGTATATTATTTTGTATAATGTACATTCAGTACACAAATACTATATTTTTCGTATATTGAAAATGTACTTTTTGTTATCGTCCAATCAGCACTATTAAAAGGAGTAAAGATTGACAAATCTAAACAATTGTGCATTAACAAGGTTAAGATGTTTGTTTAGGGAGATTTAGTTGCTACTTAAGAAGAAATGCACAACAAACGGTGTGAAGTTTTTAGATTACTGAAAACATTCATATGCAAAATAAAGATTTTCAAAAATAGAAGGTCAAACTTGAAAAGAAAGTTGTTAACTATATATAAATCATTTACAATAAGAGCAAAGCATGTGAAGGTGAACTAAATTATGAATTACAATATGTGAAAAACAACTTAAAATGCTAAAATCATGCACATCTACATAGATCATATCTTAACAATTAGCAAACTAGGGGTGAGCAAAAGAAAGGGGCAAATCAAACATTCAAACCTAAATGCTACAAGTACTTAGAGGGTACAATGCAAGGAAAATCTAGCACTTAGAGGGTACAATGCAAAGGAAAATCCAAGCCACTCATGAATGAACTTAATGCTTGCACTAAATCAATATGGATAAGGAGAGAAGATAATGTGTGTCATTATTGTAGCCAATAAGATAACATCAAGCCAAAGTGCTTCAAATGTTTAGCCAACATGAGGTAAGGAAAACGAAAGACTACCATGAAGATAAAAATAGACCCCAAACCTTAAATCTTGTATACGATAAATTTACGTTTGAAAATTAAATCCAGCATGTTTTATTGTTGATGACAATGTAAATTAAGAGTTCAAGATGACAAAATCTATTATTAAAGGTGTCACTTATAATATTGCAACACAAGTTGAGACAACCAAGAACCAAAGAATTCTTATTACAATATTACATAGCCAATTCACTAAGAAATCCTCAACACAAGTCTAGAAGTGGATAAATGATCAAGGGGGATTTGTTGTGTACTAAAAGATTCACCTTGGGCCTTGGTGCTCTATTAAGATCTTGAAGAAAATATTCAGAAAGAAGAAAATCATTAAGTATGAAATGCAAAAGCCAAAAAATCTAGCAAGGAGCTAAAGAAGAAATTATAATCTATGTCACTTTTCTTTTATAACTCGTGTTTTAAGCTTGTCATGAAAATCATATTTGAACCTTTGCGTCTGCATATGAGTCTTAAATTTATAATCCCTTTTTTAGGGACAATCAAAAAAAAAAAAAAAAAAGGTTATTATTATTGCATTACCATTTCAAATTTTGGTGTGCATTACTAACTTTAAAAGGTTTGATTATTAAAATATAATTATTAATTTTAAAAATTCAATTACTACGTTACTAAGTTTAGCAAAGTTTAACAAATTGCTCCTATGTATTAATAGATTACTAACTTTAAAAGATTCGATTATTTGTTTGATACACTCTAACCTATTATTCTATTGTAATGCCAACCCTAATCAGAAAAATAACAGTGATACCATAAGATAGTACTAAGTTTAACAAAGTTCAACTAATTACTACACATAGGAGCAACAAGAGGCTATCTTGTGGCCTCATCAATAATGACATAATATAGTTAAGAATTATTTACTCAAATAAACTACCAACGAATTATACTTCCAAGTACAAATAACTCAATTCCTCTTTTAAATAAGATTTCTATTTAAGTCTTATAAATATAGTAATAAAAATTAATAAAACCCCTTTTATATAAAGTTTGATAATATTTCAAACTTTAAATTAGTTAAAATATCAAAGGTTCTCTACCCCAAGGGCCCCCTAAGATGTAAATTAGGATGACTCAAGGGCTCAACATACAGGGCCAAATGCTGATGCGCACAAGGATAATCTCAACACTGCCGCTATTAAAGTTCGAACCTTGGTCTCTTCTCTTAAATACTGTCTACTGAACCATTGAATTAAACCTGTGCAGGCTGATTCTCTACCTAAACCTAGTAATGAATGTTGTACATTTCATAACTTAAACAGAGTAACACTTGCCAATAATCAACAATAAAGATTAAATAAGGTTGATGAAAAAGGCACAATAACTTGATGCAAAGAACTAGCTAGCAGCTACTTAATCTCCCAACTCATACAAAGACTTACTTACAGTGCATGCTTGCTTGCTAACAATCAACACATACAGCTTTTCCACCTCATACTATGTAATATAAGAAAAAGATGAAAAGAAAAGAGACAAATATGATGAACATTCATGGTGCATTAGCTATTAATCTCCCAAACCAAATGGCTAAAACATACTTATAATAACATAATCTGGTGACCTCCATATCCCTGATCCCTTGGTAACCCCATTGTAAGAGCTCTAGATGTTGCTGGGCATAACCCCATTGGACTTTTCTTCCATTAAAATCCAGAAGAGTAAGCATTAATTCAAGGTAGAGGAACCGCTTTCTCATCCACTTGACACGGCTTTGGTATCCTGGGGGAATTGTATATATGTATGTACATCCCCGTATCCAAGAGACGACTGATCTGCTGCTTTTCCCGCTTTCGAGAGGAAAGGATTGAAGTATATCCAAGAGACGGATGGCGTTCGTTGATGCTCAATCATCTAACAACTAACGAGACAGCTTGCATTTGCGGGTTTAGTTAGAGCTGAAATATTGCTAGCAGCAATAACGTCGAGGTGTTCCCATGTCAGCCTTCGTCTCTCCGCAACCACATTCGACAACGACTTCTCTTCCTCGAGTTTGCTTTGGCAGGCACACACGAGCTCCTCGTCCATCTCCGTGATCACTTTCCTCACGTTTTGTGTCAGGTTCAGAATCGCTTTGTTCCAATGGTTTTGGCTATTCCTCTCTAGAGCTGACACTACAATCGGCATTATCACATCCTTGTTGTGCATAACAAGGTTAAGGATGTTGTCGTTGTTCCATAACAGGTGTGCTCGCTCAGCTACCTGGAAAAAAAATGGTAAGAAAAGAAGAATAAGCTAAGATGCTCGTTTACTGGCTAGGGTCAGTCAACTGGGCTATAATGCACATTGGCCAAACCACAATAAAAGATTGAATCCAACCAATTAGTTAGTCTAACTCGTGGCCTTATAAACCCATATGTTCTCTCTTATTTTATCAATGTGGACTCTTAACAGTTCTAAAGAAATTATCACCTGGAAATGTGAGCTGTTGAGGCAAGACCCTAAGCGGCGAAACAGTGGCACCATGATCTTCTGAAACTCGGAGACGTTGATCAGTTCCAGAAGCTCTTCTATCTCGCTGATAAACATCAACTCCTTTTGGCTATTTTTCACGGGCCAATATCTCAAGAGTTTTTCTATCACGACGCTACCCAGATTTTGATCCTTTTCTACAAACTGTACAACACAGTACGCAAGCTGTTGATGATAGACCCCCAATGATTTCGGTTTGTGTAAAGGTATCAAAGCCCGAGAGAAAAACATCTTGTGCTCCTCTTTCAACGGCAAAGCAAAGCCACTAATCACACTCCCGAAAACTTCTAATAGTTCTGAAATCCCATTATGCCGTTGAGTCTCGAAAACAAAGCCATAAAATATATTACTGACAGCGTTTCTGATAAAAGGCCTGTGCATCATGAACTTTCCATATAGCCGATGGAGAACAGATTTCAAGCCTTCCCTTTCCCTTGGGTCCTCGGAATCAAATAGGTTTAGTAATTTTAGTATGAAAGAATGGTGTATATATTTCTTCGCTACCTTCGGGTCAAGAGAACTTAGGCTTATAAATTGAAGGAATAGGTCATACACGAGCTGTAAGTGATACCAGGCGGGATCAAATAACGGTTCTTCATCATCACCTTCCCCTCGAGCAGATTGGGAGGGGTACTTCGGAGGAAAATCTCGAAACAAGTTAATGGCGCACATCTTACAAACCGCAGCTATTACCGATTCAGTGCATTTCAAAGATCCCGAAGTAACGAAATCATTCAGCTCTGCTAAAACCTGTCTCTTCAGATCTTTCTCCGCTGAGTTCTTATCCGGATCACTGAAATCATACACGGAGCAGCAGAGGTTCAGTTTACTCAAAAACAAGCCTTGCTTTTCCCCATTCGAAACATCTTTAAAGCACAAATGCGGTGCAATAGACTCCCCCCCTCCAGCCACAATGTTCGCTGGGAAAATCGCGGATGACATGCGTTTCACTACATTAAGCCGGTTCGCTATGACATTGCAGCTGTTTGTAAACTGAACCCCATTGCCCGAGTTCGTAGGGTTGTTGAACGAATTGCTCAAAGACGAATCTTTTGGGTCCGATTTCAGTGATTTCCGAGGAATTTTCGCAAGAATTTGCTTAAGCATAGTAGCAACGCTTGAAGTTGCAGCCAAGAGTGGACCTAAAGCCAATATGAAGAGCAAGATATACAATGAATATAAGGAACAACACATTAAAGCTAAGGATAAAAGTTTCATATTTCTATTCTCAAGTTATAATAAGTTACTAAATTTCACTGAGTTATTACTTTCAAACCACTCAATGTTGAACATATACACAAAGCCCTTGCTTGCTTTCAAGATTTTTAGCTTCAATTCAACCTAATTTCAAGAACATTCCTTTGCTATGAATGCTATAAGTTAAATCCAATCAAACTGAGGAATTGTGAGAACTGTCTACTCTACACTATGTTCACAGTACAGATCTCAGAAATTTAAGATCAGAATCCAACAAAAGACTCCAAACACAAATCTGCACATCCAAAACCTAAATTATATGCATGTATAAAACACAGATCCGGGACTGAAACCAGAGAACAACACTAACACACAAGAAGAAAGAAATCCCAGATCATTAAATCCACAAGTGAAAACTTTTCTTTCTCCAAAACTTCAAAAAGACAACAAGATATCATTTTTTTAATTGCACAGATATACATATATACACACATTAATATAGTCCTAATTTAAATGGGAATGGGTTAAAGATTCCATCTTTAACTGACCCGAAAACTCAAAATTAAATAAAATTAAGCAGCGGAGAGAGAAATGGAACCTGGGTTAGTGTGGGTCTGATGAGCGATGAGGAAAGAAGAAAAGGGCATAAAGATTCCTGGGAGAATTAGCAGAGATGAATAAGAAGAAGAAGAAGAAGAAGAAGAGAATGCAGGAATACTAAAACCAGCAGGGAGAGAGAGGGGAGAGTGTGGAATCACATCACATCATGGTCTTCCTCTTTTAGCTTTGAATTGAAGACACAATGATGGAAGTGGAGGAGCCCAGTTCTCTCTTTATTTATTTTTCCCCCCCTCTGGCCTCTCTCTCTGGGTACCGAGAAAACAGCACTCTTTTTTTTTTTTTTTTGTAAAACACAAACGTTTTTGTTTTTCTTCTTTTTCTCAGTTGTTGTTGCTGATTGATTGTTTTGTTTTGTCTGCTCTACGGAGGACTAAGTTGTGTTCTTGTTGAAACCTCTTTTATAGTACTACTCTCTCTCTCTGGAGGTTTCCTGGAGTGTGGTGCAAAGCATGATGAGTGAGAAAGGCAATGAATGACAGCGGCATTTTCAGAGAAATTGCCGGCATCAGACGGCGGTCACCCCTTCCGTCATTTGTAACGTAAATTACTGCCGTTACTTGCTACCCTACCAACCCCACTTCAAAAATATACTCCGTAATATATATATGTACTCAATTGTATTTAAAATTCAAAATTTTAGAGTGTTTTCTTTTTTAGAAAAAAATTAAATTTTAAATCTGGTATCTAAATTGGCTATTGTTATACCATAGAACCGGGTGGACCCATCGCAATTTTTACATACTGAATGTTCATAATTCAAATTATGAACATTTAATATTTAAATTGTATATTTTGAATTTGGGTCCACAGAATAATTTGCTCTAAACTAGTATGGTATGGTACAGGCTTAAAGATATTTCCTATAGTTAGAGTCTACTCATGACACCTCATGGTCTGTCCAAAAAAAGATTAATAATTTAGATATATTTGAGTACAATAATTTAGATATATTTAGTTCATGTAAAATTATTTTGAGTCTTTTTTTATTTTATTTTGTTATTGTTTCTTATAAAATATTTCATCTGTCCTATTTTATATATGGAGTTTGATTAATGAGTGATTGAAATTATTTACAATTTTTTTTGGTAATATGTATTTTAGTATTAACATATAAAATTTATATTTTGGAAACTACATCAACAACACTTTTCAATATAAGACTGTGAATTTAAATTTTATAAAAATGTTAAAGAAAATAAACAAATAAATGAGTTGATTTAATCAATAAATAATAAATAGAGCAGATAAAATGAGTAGAAAGTATGGTGTAAATGTTTAAATTTTATTTTTTTAGAATCTAAATTAATTATTTTTATTTAAAGTTAAATAATAGTATAACACTACCCCCCTCCCTTCTTTCCAAAAAAAAAAAATAGTACAACACTTATATTGTTTTTATTAGGTAAATTTTAACTATACTCTTAAATTAGAACAATTTTTATATAAACACATAGAGATAGAAAACAAAATCAATAACCTTTGTAATGTGAACATTGTTTGTTATAATAAGGCATTGTTAACGTGACTTTCATATAAACCATGTATTATCTGTATGGACATCACATTTTTCATATTTACCTTTATTTTATAATCAAACTGTAAAAACATG